CTGGCTTTCCATGTGCAAAAGATTAAAATTAGATCTATATCTTTTACCATGCACTAAACTAAAATTGAAATGGATCAAAAATCTAAATATTAAAACAGAAACACTAAATCTGCTTGCAGATAGAATAGGCAGAACTCTTGAAGACATAGGTGTGGGTAAAGACTTTATGAACAAAACCCCAATCACACAGAAAATATTACAAAGAATCAACAACTGGATCTTATTAAAAAGATTTTGCACAGCAAAAGGAACCACCAACAGAGTGAAGAGACAACCTACAGAGTGGGAAAAAATTTTTGCCAGCTATAGCTCAGACAAAGGACTACTATCTACAATATAGAAAGAACTAAAAAACTCAGACTTCCCAAATTTAAAGACCCAATCCAATCATGGGCATCTGAAATGAATACACTTCTCAGATGAAGAATTACAAATGGTAGATAAATATATGAAAAAATGTTCAACATCACTGGTCATTTGAGAGATACAAATTAAAACAATATTGAGATTTCATCTGACTCCAGACAGAATGGCTCTTATCAAGAAATCAATCAATAACTAATGCTGGCCAGACTGGAGAAAAAGGAACCCTTCTCCATTGTTGGTGAGAGTGTAGAATGGTACAACCTCTGTGGAAATCAGTATGGAGATTCCTCAAAAAACTAAAACTAGAGGTTTCAATTGACCGAGCTATTCCCCTTATTGGTGTGCTCCCAAAAGAATTAAAAGCATCATACCACAGCAATATATGCACACCATGTTTATAGCAGCACAATTTGTAATAGCTAAATCTTGGAAATAGCCCAATGTTAATCAACAGATGAGTGGATAAAGATGTGGTGTTTTTCATACAATGGAGTACCACTCTGCCATAAAGGATAAGCTTGAGACATTTCTAGCTAAATGGATACTCCTTGAAACCATACTCTTAAGTGTAATAAATTTGGCACACATGTTTAAATATCACATTGTTTCTCTGGTGTGAGAAACTTAAAAAGCAAATAAGGTCCAAAATGTATAATAGATATTGGGGTATCTATACCCCAGTAGAAGAAAATGTTAAAATGGGAAGGGGAACACAGAAGGGAACATAGAGGGAAAGGAAGGAAGGGACCAAAAAAAAAAGAATAGAAGTTTAAAAATGGAAACAAAGCTTTTGTAAATAAGGAGGGGAAGAGGAGTTGAAGTGAGGGGAGAGAAATGGGAAAAAAGAACAATGAAGATATATTATGAACAGATACAAATTCCCTATCATTAATGTGATCATTATGTATATCTAAGATGTAGCAATACAATTAATTTTTTTTAAAACTCAGAACTAAAGGAATTCGTCCTGTCTTTTTCTTTGCAAACTGAAGGAATTTAAATCTGTGATGGTTTCATTGTCCCCCCCCAAAAAAAAAATTCACCTGATTGTTTTAATTTCCATTTCTTTGCTTGCCCATGTTTGCATATTTATTTCCTCCTGTGGCAAACATTTGCTGCTGTTCTTCACTAGAACATTCCTGGAGGACCAGTGCCTGGAGGAACTAGCAATGCAGCAAACACCAGGTGCTCGCTCGCCCTGGCCACAAGGTCCCAGAAGCAAATTAGCCTCCTCCTGGCTCCATGATGGACCAGTTTACAAAGCTAACAATGGCCCAGGTCTCAGGACAAAGTGACGTCACTTACACTGCTCATCATTTGTTTTCACAACAATGTCAGGACTAGGGACTCTATTGCTAATTATCTCAGGTTTTAATCTCAACACATAGTCATCCTGATTGCTTTATATTGACTATAGTTTTATATTTTAAATTTTTTAATGACTGTGTTAAGTATCTGTACTTATTCAATTATCTAAAGAGTTTGCCAAGTTGAACTATACGCTCCCCAAAACCAGTGGGCAAACATGACGTTTGGTTTTTGTGAATAATTTATGGAGCTCACAAACTAACCTGCCACCAAAGCGCTTCAATGTGAAGGTGACACAGGTGTCACCCGTGAGTCCTCTTTTGCCTGAGCAGTGGGGCTTTCCTGCGGCTGCTTCTGGGGCCATCTCCTGCTCACCAGGTGGCTTAACAAAGCAGCTGCCCTTGCTGCTGACTCCAGAGAAGCTGCTCGACCCCAGGCTCCACTCTGGAACCAGTAGACCGGCAGCTTCACCTATGGCCCACACCCTCCATTCCCCCTTTTGACGGTTTCTGCCTCTTTCTTCCTTGCTTTTCTGCACAGTTTGCCTAGCTGGCTTCCTTATTCCATGGATGATAAGGTCCTTGAGGGCAGGGAGTCTATCTTGTTTAATCTCTGAGCTTTGCATAATGAAAATTACCAATATTTGCTCAATAAATAATATTTCTGTGGTTAATTCTATATTAAAGCTCCTAAATGTGAACTGGGCCGTTTTATATTTTAAATGAGAAAGAAGGAAGCCATTATTTTTCCTGTTTCAAGAACTAAAGTAAGTGTTTCTAGCAGTTTTATTTTGGGCTGGGCGGGGAGTGGCAAAATCTCTTTCTAGTGCATAATGTTTACAGGTGCCTTTTTGCTCCAATCTTTAAGAACATGACCTTTACTAGCAGTAAGTACTTGAAAATGTACATTATTTTCTCCCACTTTACTCATCCAACCAAATCTATATATGTAATGGATCTTCCTGGTTTTGTGGTTGTTTTGTAAGAACTTCAGTTAAGTACTTTAGAACCAATAGAGTGCTATGAATTAGTTGGAAAGAACAAATTCGTGACATGGACCTACAAGACGTATCTTCTTAACAAAAGCCCACTTCTGACTTGATTGTCCAGGGAGAGAATGCCTAAAGGGTTCTGTAGTAAAGTGCAGTTCACCAGAACGGTACAGGAACAGTCCCTGATTGACAGTTCTGTTCCCCTGAAAGGTAAGTGTGTGCCCCTCGCTTCCCCCTGAAGTGGGGAAGCACTGTGATGCAGATGAGCTCCACCCCCTTTCTCTGGACAGCGTCTCCTCCTGCCTGCCTCCCCCAGTGCACTCTCCACCTTCAGCCCCTTGGGACAAGGCCAGCCAGGACAGCTGTGTCCCCAGCTCCAGCCCCATGCCCCCTTCCTCTCTAATCTCACCTCCCCTCCTTCCTCCCAGCTCCCCATGTCCCAGAATTTTGTTTGTTTGTTTGTTTGTTTGTTTTGGTACCGGGGATTGACGCTTATGCAGCAGGTGATGAAACCACTGAGCTAAATCTCCGGCCACCATGTCCCAGAGTTTTTGTCTTTACTTGAGTAGCTGAACATCTGAAAGGTCCCATACATCTCCCTGTTTGAGGCCAACACTGTGATTCTGTCACATAAATTATCATAAAACCAAGACAAATTCAGAGAGCTTGACAATAGTCATTTTCAGGAAAACTGCAATCTATACGGCCCACAGAATAATGCTGCCCTCTAAGACAGTAAGTTCTCTGTCAGTGACTCTCATTCCACAATGCTAATATGACAGGGGCCCAGGAACATTCTCAAGACTGGTAAATACATTTGTAGTCCAATGGGACTTTACAAATAGCACTTCCTGATATAAAGCCACAGGCAGAGTGAGAACTGAGCGTCTAGCCAAGGTATGCGGAAAAGCTTTAATCTAACATCCAGGCTACACAGAGACTGAAATGACTCAGCTGTGCCTGAATAACAAGACTGCATCACAGCTACATGTAATTAGAGATGCATTTCTTAAAACTGGTGTTGAATTGCAGGTGGAAAGCACTTTTGAAACCAGTCTAATCTCCTTCGGCAAGAATCCTTAGGCACTGAAGACAGACGGGTGATTCGGCCTGCAAATACCTAATGAGATAAAGAGGATGCTTGGTGTGCGGTCTCCCTTTTCTGCACTGGATAGTTCTGTTAAAAGTCTTTCTGACGGTAGTCAGAATCTGCCTTGCTGCTGTTTCCAACCACTAGTTGGGATCTGTGTGATATAAGGGGCAGGACTGAAGTGGGTTTGTCGAGTACTTGAGAAGAAGCCCTTTGGGCTGGGGATTTAGCTTAGTGGTTCTGCAGCCTGCCTCACAAGTAGAAGGACCCGAGTTCAATCCCCAGTACCAAAAAAAAGAAGCCCTGTCTCAGCGTCATTTTCCCCACGTATAAAACGCTGTTAGTGATGTTAGCACACGAGTTAGAGATACTGTACATTAAATGTCCTGAATATCAGAGACACCCAGCAGACAGTTGCTGGTCTCAGCAGTAGCGGACCTCACTGTAGGCCTGAGACACAGCTAATTTGTCCCAGGGACACTTTACATTTGTCAGTCTCGAAATCCCAATTCTTCCTTGAATGCTCACATGTCCTACCTCCAGACCCCGGCACCGTCTTACAGATCTCCTCTGCTGGTTTCCTATAGAAAATGCTCCTCAGGGCTGGGGGTGTAGCTCAGTGGTACAGAGCTTTCCTATTACATGTGAGGCACTGGCTCTGTTCCCAGCATGCAAGAAAGAGAGAGAAGGAAGGGAGGAAGCGGGGAAGAAAGGGACAGGGAAGAATGAGAGAAAAACAAGAAAGAAAAAAGGACGAGAGAAAGAAGGAAATAAGCAAGCAAGCCAGGCATGGCGGCAGGAGGATAGAGTTCAAGGCCAGCCTAGACTACATAGTGAGACTCTTGTCTCAAAAAAAAAGTCTGATTTGGTGGCACATACCCATAATCCCAGCACTCTGAGAGGCTGATGTAGGAGGATCATAGTTTAAGCCCAGCCTGGGAAATTCAGTGACTAGCAAGACCCTGTCTCAAAATATTTTTTAAAAATGTTTTAAGGGCTGGAACGTAGCTCAGTGAGAAGGCTCTGAATTTAATCCCCAGTACCAAGAAAACAAAAGGAAGGAAGGAAATGCCCCTCATATATATCCTGGCCATGGCCATGTGTTCCTCCAGATACGAGCACGGAAAAGAAAGCAGACATTAATAAATACTTGGTGAGTGGGCTGCCTCTGGAGTTCTATGGGTAGCGGCCCTCAGCACTCGGCACCCGCCAGCCACCCAGACCCTGCGAGAGGGCGCCTCGCACCTGCACATCCTGCTCCAGCTTGATCTTGATGATGATGTACTCTTCACAGTCCCAGATCCGCTGCTTGTTCAGCTGCTGCTCGTATTCCTCCACTCTCTTCATGCGGTTGACAAGGTACTCCAGCTGTGTTGCAGGAAACCAGGGGGAAGTTAGGGACCCTCCCCACCCCAACTCAGCCCTTCCAGCAGCCTGAGAAGCGTGGCCCAGGTAAGGATTGGAAGTCCCGTGGTTGGGGACGTCTGGTGGCTTTCAGCAGCGCCAAGGCTCTGATCTCTTGGATCATGGCCTGCATTGCTTACGGGGCCCTCGATCCAAACACTCAAAGAGGAACATTCCATCGGAGCCTGAACACATACCTTGCAATCATTGATATTTCTAAAACATTCCTCTGAGTCTTGGTCAGAACCCTTTTTTATTCCCTACCTCTCTGAAATAAAGTGGGAATCCCATACCCTTTAAAATACCTTCTTGGGCCATGAGTATCCAGGGCTGGGGTAGATACCCAAGGAGAAAGTGGCAGGACCATGGAAACCACGGCGGGTTGCAGAGGTGGTTGGTGCTCGCCCCTGAGGGGGACACCCTCACCTGCCAGGCCACAGAAGCCCAGTAATGAATGCCCGCCCAGCAACCCTGGCCCGGATAGGAAAGGCTGGCCAGCCAGTCACAGGGGAGTTGCCCTGGACTGCACCTGCCCCTCTTTACCTCCTTGGTGCTGTGAGCCTGCAGCACCCACTCCCATTTCTTCTTGTTGCTGGTCAGCAGCTCCTGTCGTTCCGCCTCAAAGGCTTTCTATGACCAGGAGGGGAGAAGGCCCTGTGTCTACTTCCAGTAAGCAAGTCCCATCAGGATCAAAGAAATTTTAGATAACCACACTAGTGCTGCATCACCAGCCATAAAGACTAAGTCACACCCAGCCACAGACCACCCAAACTTCATGCAGCCGAAGGGCTACAGGAGTTGTATGGAGATTAAGTGTTAGGAAGTCTATACCTGGCATGAATTTAGAGGGGAAATTCGCCAACAGAGGCAAGGAACTGGAGGAAGACCAAGGCAGTCGTGGGGTAAACTCGACCTTGGCGGCCAACTAGAACATGGGTTCAAGTTCAAGGTCCTGATTCCTGAGTCCTGTCTGGCACTCCCTTCCCCATTGCCCCATGCCAATTGCCATAAATAAACAAAACATGGCTCCCATACACCTATGGTTGTGGAGTCCTAACCGCCCCCTTTCACTCCTCATTCCTGTCTTATTTTCTTTATTTGTGGTTTTTTGGGGGGTTTTTTTTGGTACCGGGGATCGAACTCAGGACCTTGCACTTGCGAGGCAGGTGCCGGAACCACTGAGCTAAATCCCCAGCTCCTGTCTTATTTTCTCTCAAAACACTTACTACCACCTGTCAAATTATACAGCTACTCATGTATTTGTTTATCTCCAGCTATCTCCGAGTAGAATACGGGCTCCACTGGGGACCTTGCTTTGTTCACAACTGCACCCTGGGCTCCTGGAACAGTGCCTGGTATATAGCAGACACTTGGTGGTTACTTGAATGAGCAGATGAGTGAGCGAATAAATGAACAACACCCGAGAGGAGAGACAGAAATCAGAAGACAGACATCTGGGTCCCCGCTTCCATCATTAGGACCTCCCCAGGGGGTTCCCAGATGCAGAAAGCAATCTATTCACACCCCTTGCCTCGATGTGAAGGAGCTCCTGGCGGAAGGCTTTCGTCATGCTCTTCACTTGCTCCTCCATCCTCTCCAGAAGCAGGGAGATGTCATCTGCCTGTTTCTTCAAGTCCTTCACATACTGGTCATCCTTGATTTTTAACTCCTTGAGAATAACATGAGATCATAACATGAAATGAAATAAATCAGACACCCAAGCTTAAACAGTGCGTGGTGTCTCTTATAGGAGAAACCCAAAGTTTAAATAAAGAGCACAATAAAAGGTAGAGAAAAGGAAACAGGGAAATTGATCTTTTGCAAATGGGGAGGGACCAAGAGGTGAAGGGAGGAGGAGGAGAGGGTGGGGAATTAAGATGCGTCATCCACACATACAAACTCCCTTCAGTGAAGGTAACTGTGATGCATTGCAAACACGTACCAATAAAATTAAAATTTAACAGAGAATAGCATGTACAAAGTTGGTCCCAAACTGTGACAGAACACAGATGCCAAGCACATACCCCCTGGTCCCCTCCATCAGAAACTGTAAACACTAAGGATGAAACTGTACAAAGCAAAGAATGGCCCCAGCAGTCTTTGGAGGCGTGGAGGAGATCACAGGTGGATGGCCTGGAACAAGGTCAGCTCAGGGTAGCAGGAAACGGGCTCACAAGATCAGACCCCTTGATTATCACTCACTGTAAATCTCCCTGCAAGACCCCAGGAAGCCTAGTGTCCCAGCTAAGCAGTCAGCGTCCAGATCTAACACCAGGCCACATCTATGCAGACTAAGTTCCATTCCTCAAGCAAGAACATAAAATCTGAAACAGCGTTTCCTATAAAATCACATCTTTCTATTAGAGAGCCAATGATTCTAAATTACTACCATGCTTTTTCTTTTTTTTTTTGGTACTGGGGATCGAACTCAGGACCTTGCGCTTGCAAGACAGACAGCAGCACCACTGAGCTAAATCCCCAGCCCTACTAAGTTTTTTCTACCAGGTACAAATTTATTTCTAGGCATGGTGGTGCCCACCTATAATCCCGGTTACTCAGGAGGCTGAGGCAGGAGGATCACAAGTTCAAGGCCAGCCTGGGAAACTTTGTGAGATTCTGACTCAAAATAAAATTTTAGAAAGGACCAGGGATGTGTGAGTGCGAGAGAGCGATATAAATGTTGACAAGGATGTGGAGAAATGGGAACCTTCATGTACTACTGGTGGGAATATGAACTGTGTGATGAGCATGGAAGAGTATGGAGATTCCTCTAAAAATTGAAAATAGAAATACTATAAAATCTAATAATTTCAGTTTTAGGTATATACCTAAAGGAATTCAAAGTAGAATCTCAAAGAGCTATGTATACACACACATGTTCACAGCAATATTATGCACAACAGCCAAGAGGTAAAAGCAACCTAGATGTCTACAGAAAGATATGATAAAGAAAACAGTAATAGATAAAGTTATATGCATATTGTGCAACCTTGAAAAAGGAAAAAAATCTGTTAAATGCTACCACATGGGGTACATTATGCTAAGCAAAGACAGCGAGTCACAAAAGGACAAATACTGTACGACTCCACTCACTACTATCTAGCACTACTAAGAAACTACTATCTAAAGTAGCTAAAACCATAGAAACAGAAAACCAAAAGTTGGTGACCAAGGGCTGCAGGGACGGGGAAAGGGAATTAGTATCTAACAGAGTTTTAGTGCTGCAAGATGAAAATGTTCTGGAAGTCTATTGTGCAACAATGTGAATACACTAATGCTACTGAACCAGACATTTTAAAAATGGTGAAGGTGATCAATTTAATAGTGCACGGTTTTTACCATTAAAAAATAATTAAAGAAAGAAAGTTGATCATTTGAGTCATGCAGCATTCTAAGTAATCAAGTACAGCCTTCACATGTTTCCATTCAGGAAAAGCAGACCAGAGATCCAGCTCAACCCTGCAGCCAGACCTGCTCGGCTAGGGCAGAGCACCCGGGCCTCTTGCCTGCTGCAATTCACTGATGAGCTTGTTCTTGTCTTCTATCAGCCCAGCACAGTGCAGCTGCTGAGTAGTGAGCATGTCCCACAGCTCCTGGGGAATCCGCTTCTGTCTGCCCTCTTTCCACTTGGCAGTGATTTCATCAAATTTGTCCTGGCTGGTCTTGACTTCGTTCTCCAGCTTCTCGATTCTGAAAACGCAAATGCCAGCCGCTCCAGAGGCTGCCTTGCAAGTGCGGGCTGGTTTTCCACTGCCTGGGGTGCACAGTGCACTGCAGTATCACAGTCAGACCCCAGCACCAGGCTCCGCCACTTCCCCCCAGTAAATGTCTGGCAGAACGACAGGCACTAGTGGAGAAATCCCACCACGAGAAAGGGAAAATAGGGACCGCCTTTCCAGAAATTCCAGAGAAACTGTGAAGGGCCCTGAAGGTCACGCTAAGCCTCAGAAGGCTTAGGAGGAGATGAGAGGGGAGGCACTGGGGCTCACACGGAAGCCCTCTGCAGACAGTGCTGGAACCCACAGCCTCCACTCTCTCTGTATCCAACGCACTGTAGTTCCGTGCAACTATCTCCAAACGGGACCACAAAGCCCCTCAAGGACAGAATCCCAACTGAAACATGCTGTGAGCCTCCCTTGTCCCTCTTTCCACCTGCCTTCCAAGCTAGGGCAATCAGTGTGTAATCTAATTTGATAGAAGGTTTGCCTCAGGAATAGCTGAACAGCTGCCGGGTCATCTTTTGGAAAAACATTTATCTGGAACTCTGCTTCTCTGCAGCTTCCAGTTTTCCTCAGTGGCCGTGGGGTGAAGCCTCCCTCCTCAGCATGACACTCAGGACCTGTCACAGGCTGACCCCATCACAGGCAATCAGCCAGGTCAGCTGCTGGCATGGCCCTTTCAGGCAGGGGAAGTTTCAAAAATTAAGTCACAATTCTATCCTGGTAGTCGAACTGGTCAAGCTGCTAAAGGGAGAATGACTCACGCTGAACAATTTAAAAAGTTGTATGTACATGCTCAGCTAAAATGGCCCAGTGGCTGACCATTTCTAATTGAACTGTGTTTAGGAAATGAAGAAGATTCCAGAGTAGATTAAATGAGGCCCTCTGATCTTGCTATTGAGTCCACTTTCTGTATGCAAACCATTTTTTGTGATACTGGGGATTGGACCCTGGAACTTGCCCACATGCTAGACAGGTGCTCTACCACTGAGTTGCAGACCCCATCTTTTTCTATTTTTATTTTTATTTTGAGGTAAATTCTCACTAAGTTGCCCAGGCCATCCTTGGACTTGCAATCCTTCTTCCTCAGCCTCCCAAGTACAGTAGCTGGGATTATAAGCGTGCACCAACACATCCAGCTCAAAGGTGATTATTCTAAATAGCTGACACCTCCCTGCTGGGCAAATGAGACTGGGGAAGACAGGTGTGGAAGGCAGCTTGCCTACCAGGCTGAGGTCTGACATGTGTCCTTTTGTCTCTCTATCCTAGGCACAGAGTCTTTAACACTTTAATATGCTGCTACACGTGTACAGTACACTTTAATGAGCTGCTACATAACACTCAGACCTCCGTGGGTCTGGTCATTCTGATCAGCTAAACTCAGAGCTGCCCCCTGGATCTTCTCAGCTACATCTGTATTCTTCCACCCACCCCATGCATGGCCTCATGCCTCTGTTCAGGCTCCTCTGCCTAAAATGCCCACTCCTCAACTCCTCAAACTCCTACTCATTCCTGAGGCCCAACTCAAATGTTGCCTTGCCTGGGAGGTTTTCTCTAATCTCTGCAGAGTCCCAGAAACCTCCTTGTGTGTGTTTCCACAACTCCTGACACATGCCTGCTTACACATTCGCATTTTGATCACCAGCAGAGGCCAAGTGAGAGTTTTCTAACCACCCGGCACAGCACATGTCAGCAATGTAATGCTTGAGGGAGAGAGGAAGAAGAGAGGGAAGGGAAAAAGGCGGGAGGGAAGATTTACAAGGGGCAGGAGGGGCATTCTAGGCTAAGCTGGACACAGCTGCTTCTCAACAACTGAGGCGCATGTAGCGGCCTACAGGGACCCCCCTCACGCCCACCGGCCTGCGAAGAGTCCAGCCTCTCACCTCTGCCGCTTTATCTCCTCCTCTTCCACTCTCCTATGGATCTCCCTGACATCTACAGCCACCCGGATATTTGTGACCAATTCAGTGCCGTAGAGCAGCAGTTTAGCCAATTTCTGAAATCAAAGAGATGAGAATTTAGAAAGTTAAAACTCATGGTGAAGAATTTAGAAAGTGAGAAACGTGTGTGTGTGTGTGTGTGTGTGTGTGTGTGTGTGTGTGGTGCTGGGGATGGAACTCAGGGCCTTTCCCAAGCTAGGCAAATGCTCTATCACTGAACCATACCCCACCCAGTTAGGAACATTTGCACATTTCATCTGTAGCTCTTCTATCCACTGAGGCAGGAATCAACAGCTACCTTAAGACTCTGAAAAGCAGCATCTTCTTAGCAACCTTTTCTATCAAGACATTTGTGATGTGACATTAAGGCTACGCTTTGCCAGCATCCCCTGGAGTAGGGACAAGCCAACCAGTACACTGCCATATGCTATCAGCACATCCCGGCCCTGTACCCAACAGATCCCCACGCAACTGACCCTACCCAGGTCCTTCCTATGAATCTCAGTTGGAGAGGTGAGGGATTAACAGCAGCTATCCTCCAGTGTTCACCTCCTCCTCTGCTGTGAGTAACAGAGCACTCAAATTTTAGCTCAGCATGCAACCTCCCCAGCCTCTCTTGCAGCTAGAACATGGTCTGCCCAATGGATGCGTGACAGAAATGATATGCACCACATGTGAATCGTGCCTTTAAGGGCAAAGGCAAACTCTCTCCTGCCCCTTCCATTCCTCCCCTTCCTCCAGCCTGGAACATGGGGCTAATGTATGCCACCATGAGCGGACAGAAGTGGCCTGAGAATGGCAGGGGCTGAGACTGCAGGGAGCCCCGTCAGCCCTGCACTGCTCATGCTGGAGACTCCTGAGTGAGGCAGAGAAGGAAGTGGCTAATTGTAGCTAATGTTGGCTGGGTCTTTGCCATCACAGAAACTGATTGCTCTATAATTTTATGGGCACAGGGGATTTTTTCTGCTATAGGTGCCCACTTCTAAGGCCCTCTTTGTAAATCACAAAATCAGTATCTTCACCCCTGGCCTTTTTGTAATGTTATGATTTCAGGGTGATAAATCCTCCAACAAAAAATTCAGATATCCTTGGCTTATGCATAAGGTTATCCACAAGTGTTTTGGAATTTGTGAACTCTCTAACTCTCCAATTATTTCCAACCTAAGGACCTGGTAGGGATGCAGCTCAGTAGCAGAGCACTTGCCTAGCATGTATGAGGCCCTGGGTTCAGTCCCCAGAACTGAAAAAGAAAAATGAACTAAGAACTCATTTATGAACCAACTTCTGTTCCAAGCAGTCACTGCAATGTTCAAAGACTATTCTGTGGAAATTCTGAATGTAGTGTCGGTGAATACAGAACAAGACTTAACCCAGGTATCCAGGGCACTCCAGATCTTTTTAATGCCTGCAGCATTATCATTTATATTAAATGGTTTTATATGCATATGAAAATCAAGGCTTTCCTATGGTTGTGAGCAATTTTCTATTTTTTACTCAATGTGAACATTAGAAATTTCTGAATCAAGTACTTTAGACTCAAACCAATATTAAAAATCAAAATATTATAGTTACCAATAGGCCAGTGGACCCATACACTTACAAGATCCAGGGAAGAGTTTAAGTGGAGGCCCTCGTACCCCTCATAACTGGGCAGCTAAGGGAAAGCCAGTCTGACCCACCACCCACTCCCACCTCTGACCAGCAGGTAAGGGGGTTTCCAGGTCTGAAAGCTCAGCGATTGAAAAACAGTGGCCCTGCTTCCCCTGAGTAGAACAGATGCCAAAGAGACGCCCACCAAGGCCTTGAAGGTGGGCTCAGAACCACTTCCATTCAGTGGGCTGGAAGACCTGTCTTCCTCACTAAGGCAAGAAAAAGAAACAGTATAAAACTTGAACAGGCAGAAATAAAACAGTTATTATTTTCAGATGATCTGATTATTTGTGTAAAAAAAATCCCAAAGAGCCTACAGGTCACTAATAAGCAAGAATTAATAAACAGAATTAATAAGCAAATTTGGCAAGGTCACTAGATATCATGTCAATACATAAACACCAAATATGCTTTCATATGAAAACATGTCTGATCACAGCCTTGCGGTGGTTTGCAATCTGGAATGTCCCCAGAGGCTCGTGTGTTGAAGGCTTGGTCCCAGTGTGGAAGTGTTCAGAGGTGGAGCTTTGCGGAAGTGGCTGGGGCATGAGGGCTCTGACCAAATCAGTGGATTCAGCCATCGACGGGCTCCAGAGGGTGGCATTACTGGGAGGTGTTGGACACTAAAGGAGGTGGGACCTCGTTGGAGGAAGTAGTCACTGGAAGGGTCTAACCCATCCCCAAGTATCTCTCATGCTTTCAATCTCTTTCCCCCCTTCACCATGGGCCCAGAAGCAACAAAGCCGAGTGACCAGGGATTGAAACTATGAGCCAAGATTGTTTATTCCTGGGTATTTTGTCACAGGAACAGAAAGCTAACACAACCTCATCAAAAACTGTTAAAGATTACCGAGTGAAATTAAAGAATATCTATATAGGTGGAAGGATATTTTACATTTATGGGTTATAAATTCAGTTGAATGGCAATTAAAATTCCAGCTGATTTTGGGGGGATAGAAATTGACAAGCTGATTCTAAAATTTACATAGAAATGCAAAGGGCCAAGAATTCTCAAGACAATCAGGAAGAAGAACATGGTAGGAGAACTTAACCTACCAGATATTGAGGTCTGTCATAAAGCTACAGTAATTAAAAAGTACGGATTTGGCATAAAGACAAATAGACCAACGTAACAGAATAGAGAATTTTGGAAAATAAATGTATAGGGATCGCTTGATTCATAACAAAAGTTCATGCTATGCAGTAGAAAAGGATGATCTTGTCAATAAATGGTGCTGGGTCAATTAAAAATGTATATAGAAAACAATTAGCTTTGAGTCCTACTATATATCATACACACAAAAAATCAAATCTAGATAGAGTGCAGACTAAAATATAAGTGGTACAATAATAAAGGTTCTACAAGAAAATCTTCATACATTTGGAATACACAAAGATTAATCAGGACAAGAAAGAATGGCTTTTTGTTTTAGTCACTTTCTCATGGCTGGGGCAAAATACCCAATACCCACAATTTAGAGAAAGAGAGGTTTATTTTGGCTTATAGTTTTAGAGGATTCAGTCCATAGTCGGCTGGCTCCAGGGTAGAAAGGGCCTGGTGGGAGGGCCTGGTGGGAGGAGGACAGCTGCTCCTCCCCTGGCAGCCAGGAAAGACAGGAGGACCCAGCAATGAGAATACAGCCTTCCAAGTCAGCCCCACCAGCCCTTCCAACAAGCCCCCAACAACATGAAATTTTTAGGGGATATTGTAGACTTTTAAAAACTGATTAATAAAGAACAAGGCCAAGGACAGGTCTGAGGGAAGAACTGGTCAGCAATACCTTGGTTTTGAGGATGCCAGCATTTTTGTATACATTTCTCTGTGATGTCAACACTCTTCACTACTTAAGTCCTAAGTGAAAGGAACCTTGAAAAGCTCTAATGACAATATTATCCCTTTCGTTCCATACTCAAGAAGAGGAAAAGAGACGCATAATGAGCAGTGTATTGGTATTTTCAAGACTCTACAAATGCTTTAGCCTAGACACAAATGCTCAGAAATCCCTGACTTTTGTTTTGGTACTGGGGATCGAAGAAATCACCGACTTTTAAAGGAAGGAAGTTAAGTATGAAGAAGTGACACGGGAATATTCACTCTATAGGAGGCGAGAGATGTGGAACGACAATGCACATTAGCCCAATATTTTTCCACTACAGTAAAAGAGCCTTTCCCAGACATAATATATCTCTATGCTTTGTAATATTTCAGTAACCTGAGTATGTTTTCTTCCAGAGAGTACTCTTATTTTTGCCAGAAATTATCACAATTTCTCCTGCACAACACTTTAAAATCCCACCAATTGTCTAAGCCTCAGCTCATGTTCCACTTTCTGCATATAATTGCCCTGACTAGGCCCATTGGGAAGCATGTCTTGTCACACAGGACCACTGGCTCGGCGTTTCATTTAGCATTAAGTACACCATTCGGCCAGTTCTGGTTTGCTATTTCGAACTGTTGTTTTTCCCTCTCAAACCTCTTGTTCCACATCCTTTATTAAATATCTCAGGAGCCCTGTCCTTGACAGAGGAGAGAGAATGATTTTTTCTTTTCTTTTTCTTTTTTTGAGATGGGATTTTGCATGTTTCTCAGGCTGGTCTTGAACTGACAGGCTCAAGCAATCCTCCTGCCTCGGCCTCCTGAGTAGCTAGGATTAAAGGGCCCTACCACCACGCTTAGCAATTTGTTTTTTTTTCAGCACTCAGGATTGAAACCAGGGCCTCACACTGAGCTACAACCCCAGACCTTTTTATTTATTGTTTTGAGGCAGGGTCTTGCTAAGTCACCCGGGCTGGCCTTGAAGTTGTGAATCTCCTGCCTCAGCCTCCTGAGTAGCTGGGATGACAGGTGTGCACCACCTCACACAGCATAATTTTTTTGTTTTGTGTTTTTGGTGGTGCTAAGGATCAAACCCAGGGCCTCATGCATGCTAAGTGAGTACCCCACTACCGAGCTACACTCTCACCTGATTTTCCTTTTATGGTTCATTAGCGTAAGCTCTAAACACTCCACAGCTAGGAAGAGAGGCCGTCGCGCTCAGAGAGCTTCTAAGTTACTTGGGGACGCTGCACTCACACACATTTGCAAGGTCACACAAAGCTGACAACTAGCTAAGATGAATGACTGCTACAGAGAAGTACTGTATGTGTGGACTAAAGGAGTTCGGGCTGATGTTAAAGCAGGCTGGGGTCTCTGAGGGGTTAGGGGTCCCGGGAACTACCCTCCACCATTCTCCAATTCCCTCACCCTCACTGCTCCAAAGAATGAGAAAATGAGGCCAGACTGGCTCAAAGCCAAGGCCACCTGCGCTCCAGGAAGCCGGGACTGAAGAGACTTGCCCAGTGAAAGTTTATCTATGGTGCAGCGCATGCAGGAAAAAGCTACTGTATCAGCAGAGTGGGCTGCAAGGCCCCATGGGTCTGGTGTGCTCGTGGGGGTAAAATGGTTTCTAAAAGTAACTTTCACTGGTTGGTGTGATCTAGGCCAATCAGGGTCTTAGCCCTTGTTCCTGGGGGTGAGGAAGAGTTCAGTGGGCTGAGGTTCCTGGAGCACCCGGTGCACAATAAGCACGTGGTAACCTTACAACTGTGGGCCACCCAGGTCGTGCCCAGGATTCCCTGCCTACACCCCTCTCACCTGTCCCTACCCTGGGCTGAGCAAGAATCCACAAGAACCTGGGAAGCTCAACAGTCCTAGAGGATGGGAATGCAGCCTTTCTGAGAAGAGAAGGGAGGAGAGGAGGAGCATTGAACGGAGGGCACTGAGAGGCCCAGAAGATCAAAGGCTCAGAACAGGGAGGAGGAGCCCCTGGGGGTGAGTGGGCAGATGCGCCTCTCGGGAGAGCATGGAATGAGGCCAGGGTGGGAAATGAGCCTGCAGGGTAAAGAGGGCAGACCCGGCTGAGACTCTGAGCTTCGTCCTGTGAGTGCGAGTGACCACTAAGAGCACACGAGCGAGCGGGGGAAGAGGCAGCACAGAAGCGCCTGGTGGGCAAGCTCGCTCCTGCAGAGGCCCCAGCTGGGAGCAACCTGAGCCCGGCGCCCTCGAGGGGTCTCCGCTGTCCCCGCCTTCCTCGGCTCCACTTCCTACCAGCCTGCTCTCTTCTCTCTGTTTGTAGCTCTTGCTCTGATCTTCTTCACTCTCCTTCCCGTCTAAATATTCTCCGAGCGCTTCCCTGTGACAGAAAAAAGCCAGAGAACACGAAGTTACTTCGAATACGTAAATACTGCATGGAAAGTTTCCATGGAGCTTCACTGCATAGAGAGATACACTGCATTTGGATAAAAATTTCAATATTAAGAAAATGCAATCATAAAAGTACTAGAAGTGAATGTAGGAGAATGTTTGTCTGATCTTACTGTAAAGAATCCATCTTTGAATAAAACAAATCAGGAGGGAGTGGATATTGATTTTTACTTTCTAAAATTTAGAAATGTTAAAAGTCAAGGCATAAACCGGTAAAAGAAATTTGATAAAATTTTACTGTCTCTAAAATAGACCCTGGGTTCAATCCCCAGTACACAAAAAAAGAAAAAGAAAGAAAAAATGACTCCTTCAAATAATACCAAACCCCTACCAAAATACCAAATATAAATTAATGGGAGATTTGAATGTGCAATTTACAGAAGAAATGCAAATGGGAAATGGACATTTGAAAATGTAATCAGCTCAAATATAATCAGAGGAAGTAAAGCCCTGTGAGATATCTCTACTCTCCTATCAGACTAGAAAACATTTCAAAGGTGGAAAATACCAATATAGGCTAAGAATTTGGTTGCCCAGCTATTTAGACCCTATTTAAACATGTAACTACCAGTGTAAAAGGCAAACTGGGAAGATTTACCAGACATTTAAATGCGCCTCCTCTCTGACCCAAAGCCCGCCATTGAGGATCTTCCACAGGAATCTCTCGCAAGCACACAAAGAAACGAGCACAGGACACTACTGCAGCACTGACTCTAATAGGAACCTGGGAATATTCCCCATACGTAGTAGTAGCTGACTGTCCGAGTAACTTATGGAGAAACAATATAAGAAAATACTCTGTAGCCTCCAAAAAGGATGTAATGTCTAGCAGTATGCAAAGATGGCCACAGCTGTCAGGAAAAAAAGAGTCAGTGGTAGCTTCCCACGGGTCCCTGGCTGTTCTTACCGTTCAGGTTTCCCTATCCTCACATAGCACTGGCAAGGACAGAGCCCAGTGACAGAGCCCAGGGCCTCCCACGTGCTAAGCAAGTGCTCTGCCACTGAGCTGCACACTCTGGCCCCCTTATTTTACAGCAACACACATGTGATTCGGCCCCTTCATCCAGCTATAAAAATACATTGCTGGGCATGGTGGCATATAACTGTAGGGCTGAGGCAGGAGGATTGCAAGTTCTAGCCCAGCCTGGGCAAGTTAGTGAAACTCTGTCCATAAATAAATAAGGCTGACAACATAGCTCGTGAAAATCCCCAGTTCTGCAAAACAAAACAACACGTGTAGGCAAGACAGTTCTCTGAACCCTGGCCAGAGTAACTCCATTTTGTAGTAGGCTACTGTTCAGTAGTCTGGAGAGCCGCAGCAGGTGCCAAAGCATTGTGCCAGTCTGCACACAGGGCCGCCCACCACCATGGCTTGACAGAGCCTACTGAGGCTGGCAGGGTTCCCCATGAGCATGGGACAGGAACAGAGTGTGCATAACTTCCCGCAAGGACTCTTGACTTTTGCTTCTGCCTTTTGATTACCCTAGAGCCATACAAAAACTTACTCAGCAAACTGGGACAAGGGTGGTGACTTCAGTAGTGCTGCCACTCATAAGCCACCCACCGCCCTGTCAGTACCTTAATAAGCCTATTTGTACGTCAAGCTGGACTTGATTGAATCATTCTTTGGACTGTCGCCCTCTCAATTTGGAGGCAGACATTTCTTTTACATTTCCTTGGGAAATTTACAGAGCACGCATTCATCAGAACTGCCTGGTATCTTCCTAAACATGACTTTCAGTATCCTCCACTTCATGCAGAAGTTTTCTTGAACATCTTCAAAGACGCTGCGTGCCCTTTCACAAGGAGCCAATAAGAGAACAGGTACATTTTTGCTTGAGACATCTCTCCAGTACAAGAAGCTCTCTCTTTGTTGCCAAGGCCTTGGCTTTTCCCATCGTCCCATGTGAGAATCACCAGGACAGCATGGTGTCCATTCATCTCCATGAAGCTTAGGAAGTAGCAGGAGCAAGCAATGTTTCCAGCCACGTCACCAAACACCATCACTGTGTGATGGCCCACAGCCAGCATCAACACAGCTCTGCCAGCCCTACCCCGGTCATGGTCATGACAAAGACCTTATATTAGCTTTATCCAGATGGCTTCTGGGGCCAGATTCATACTGACTTGGGAGGGATCAGATGGGGTTTTGCTCTGCCACGAGGAAGCCTAACCGAAGCAGACCGTCTTCAACTTCTTTCTGAAAGACTCCATGAAGCCATAGTAATAACAGGTTTGGGGACAGAACTACACCTTGAACTTCTCCCCCTGCCGCGTTATCCCACCTGGTTCAGATCCCTGAGATATTTGTCTTTAGTGACCTTTTCTTTTCAGCTGTAGTCACTTTAGTACTTGAAGATACTTGTGCAGAGGAAGGACCCAAGAGACACAGTCAAGTAGAATAAAGTAAAGCTACTCTTTTTGACAGCATTAGCTTGTTGACTGTAAGCATTTTGGTGGTACCCTTTTCTGCTTCTCCTGTTTGGCTCTTTCTTTCCCCACCAGTGGTAATGTATTCTTCATAGATTGTTCTTATTTCTAGAAATCACCAGTTCATAGTAATGCTTAAGCAAGAACTTGGAAATCCTGACAAGCTCTTATCATGTCCTGTTATGTTAGTTTACATTTAGTCCTTTGACAGATTACATTTCCAAGTTTTAACTGTCTTGAAAAATATAAAATTTTTATAAAGAAAAAAGAGGCAGCTGTAAAACAATATATGGAATAGTGTATAAATTTTCTTTTTAAAACAGGCTCACATACACATAGGGCATTTTTCGAAAGATCTGTGACAAACAGATAACCATTACTGGGTAAGGAAAAGGAATTAAACTACTGAGGACTTCTATTTTCTACACTTTGTTATTGCATGAATTTTACAAATAGTGCATGTGTGCGTGTATTGATCAGAAAATGGACTAAGAGCCAAGGGAAAGAGCGGGTCCCAGATTATGGACGTCTCTGGGGGAGGCAAGAGAAAGACCTTGCCAACTCTCCAGCCACTTCCTTCACAGAGGCACCGCTCTGCTCTGGCACACAGCGCACACCAGGGCTCCCCGTATGCTGCAGGAAAAATGAAACCATCGTTTACTGGGAAACAAGTGGATCTGTTTATCTCACTCTTTCCTGACCTTTTCTAACATAGACTTCCAGAACCACCCCCTGTTCAAAGTCCAGCACAGCCCACACAGCAATACACCATTTTGGGACACACGGTTCCCACCATCCTCCACTGCCAGTCTAACTGAAGCCCCTTTTCCCTGTCATTAAATTTGCTTCCCTGGTTTTTGGGTTTTTGGGGGTTTGGGGGGGTTTTTTGGGTACTGGGGATCGAACTCGGGTCATTGCGCTTGCGGGGCAGGCGGCGGAATCACTGAGCTAAATCCCCGGCGCTGCTTCCCTGGTCTTATTGAACCAGTCTTGGTTATCTTAGTAAAAACACTAATTGTTCTGTTCCACTTGGGTCTTCAGACATTACTGGACCACAGCAGTGTTCTCATCCCCACCCAAACATACTCCTTCTCTTTGAATTTCCACTTTGACCCCCAATTGATTAATTACCAACTCTAAACAAACCCTTCCAGCCACTTCCTGGGGCGAAGATCAGGCTTCAGAAAGAAAAAGAGCCTGCAGTCCAGATCTGATACAAATTCTTTTCTAGTTTCAATGTAAATCCCATTGCTACCTTTTACTCATCATATTTGAGCCTCAAGCACTTTGCTGCCCGCTCTGGTGGCCACCAACCACATGTGACCACCAGGCACTTGAGATAAGGCTGGTCCAAAGCAAATGGGCTTTGAGTGTAAAATGCACACTAGAAAATGTTCAAATGAGAAGGGGAACGAGGGAGGGGGAGGGGGAGAAGGAAAGTAGGGACAAGAAAAAAAGAGAACAGAAGGAAAAATGGAAACAAAGCTTCTGTATATAAAGAGGGTAAGAGGAGTCGAAGGGAAGGAGAGGGAATGGGAAAGAAAGAAGCAAGATGTATCACGTTCAGGCACAAATTCCCTATGATGAATGTGATCATTATGTATAACTAAAATGTACCAATAAATGTTTTGCTTCAAAAACTACGCACAAGGGCCAGGGATTTAGCTCAGTGGTTTTGACGCCTGCCTCACAGGCGCAAGGACCAGAGTTCGAGCCCCAGTAACCCCCCCACAAAAAAATACCAGATGTGATAAAAATATATGGGGTTTAAAAAATTTATTACAGTAAAAGATACATTGCTATTAATCCCTCCAAACCCCACCACCACCACCACCATGTCCAACATACTTATCCTATTGTTCCTAGCACTTCCTGAAGCAGCTCTGGAAGTTCTCTTTTGTGAGCACCTTTAAGAGGTATGATAAAAAATTTAGTGAATGCTGCTGTCAAGTGCCATCCTACAGAAAAGCAGGCTCACAAAAACCTTATGGTGTGTTCTTATCTACGTTACTCACCATATCTGGCACCGTGTGACTTCTGGCTCTTCCCCCAAGGCAAAATGACAGTGAAAGGTAAATGTTTTGAATCCATTCAGGACATCAAGGCAGCCATGACAATGCAACTAAAGACACTCACAAAAGAGGACCTCCAGAGCTGCTTCAGAAAGTAGCAAGAATAACGGGATAGTGTGTGTTCAAAGCAGGGGGAGGGGAGTATTCTGAGGGAAATTAATGCCAATGTCTTTCATGGAAATCAATTTTTAAAATATAAACATTTACTGTATTTTAATCATACCTTATATACATTATACTGATTATTATACTTATATACATTATACTGATTAATCATATATTATGATTGCATATTGAAATGATAATATTTTTATATACTGGGTTAAATAAACTGAAACAGCAAATTTAATTCCATCTTTTAGAAAACTTTTTAAAAAGTGGCTAATAGAAAATGTTAAATTACACATACAGCTCACACTATATTTCT